AGAAGGCGTACAGTATGTTAGGTTTTATTGGTAGAGGGATTGAGTTTCGGAGCCATGAGGTCATGTTGCAGCTGTACAAAACTCTGGTGCGGCCGCACTTGGAGTATTGCGTACAGTTCTGGTCACCACATTATAGGAAGGATGTGGAAGCATTGGAAAGGGTGCAGAGGAGATTTACCAGGATGTTGCCTGGTATGGAGGGAAGGTCTTATGAGGAAAGGCTGAGGGTCTTGAGGCTGTTTTCATTAGAGAGAAGAAGGTTAAGAGGTGACTTGATAGAGACATACAAGATGATCAGAGGATTGATAGAGGGGACAGTGGGAGCCTTTTTCCTCGGATGGTGATGGCTAGCACGAGGGGACATAGCTTTAAATTGAGGGGTGATAGATATAGGACAGATGTCAGAGGTAGGTTCTTTACTCAGAAAGTAGTAAGGGCGTGGAATGCCCTGCCTGCAAAAATAGTAGACTCGCCCACTTTAAGGGCATTTAAATGGTCATTGGATAAACATATGGATGATAATGGAATAGTTTAGGTTAGATGGGCTTCAGATTGGTTTCACAGATCGGCGCAACATCGAGGGCCGAAGGGCCTGTACTGCGCTGTAATGTTCTATGTTCTATGTTCTACGTTCAAATAAACCTGTTGGACTGATGTCGTGAGAGGCTCTGACTTTGTCCACCCAGTCCAATAGCAGCACCTCCACGTGCAAAATCCCTAGAAAATTCTAACAGGACTAGATAAACATCAGGATGCTCCTGAGGGGCTTCCAGACTAGGGATCACATTCTAAGGATATGTGGCAAGCCATTTAGGACTAAGATGTGGAGAAATTACTTCACCCAGAGAGTGATGAACCTGTGGAATTCTCTGCCACAGAAAGTGGTTGAAGTCAAAATATTGAATATTTCCAAGAAGCAGTCAGATACAGCTTTTACAGGTAAAGGGACAAGTGCTTTGGGAAGAAAGAGGGAACAGGGATGATCATCCATAATAATACTGAATGGTGGAGCAGGCTGGAAGGGCCAAATGGTCTACTCTTGCTCCTATTTTCTATGTTTCATTCAGCAAAGCATCGGAAAGAGCTGAAAGTAAGCAGAAAAAAAATCTTATCGGCATCTCTGATTGAGATCGGTGCCAGAGTTGTTTTCACTGATGTGAGTTAATTGCTGAAAAGTCAAGTAACTTTGGAAAAGGGAACAAACAAAGGTTCAGAAGAGAGATAAGAGTGAGGTTTCTCACTTTAATTGCTAGGCAAACTTGGATTCAAAGTTATGGGTTCTCGGTACTAAAGGTTTGCTAAGCAACTGTTCTGGAGTTGATTTCTCTTTTTTTTCCAGCACAGCTAGCTGAGTCAGTAGAAGGAGTAGACCTCCACAACTTGCATAAGCAATTCTCTCTCTGTTTTTTGAAAATAAGTTAACAGGAAGCTTAAAACAGAACCATATGAAAAGATCTGTCTCTCTTGGTAAAGTATTTCTGGGAACTGGATGACATTTCAAACATCAGTCTTTATTAGGCTCTGATGAAGAGTCATCTAGACTTGAAACATTAGCTTGCTCTCTCTCCATGTACGTGCCTGACCTGCTGTAATTTCCAGCATTTTTTGTGTTTTCCATGCAGATCCCAGCATCTGCAGTAATTTGCTTCTATCAGTCTTTAAATTACCTCATAAACCCTGAAAGCTGAATTTTCCTTCTATTTAAAGTCTTAAGTCTAACTAACATGTTAACTGAACTGAAGTCCGGTCTAAAAATTTTCCGTCACTCTAAAGGCAGTCAGCATTTCTGACTGGTGGAGTACTTTTAGGTTATTCTCTATGTCTGTTCCAGCTAATCTCTGACCCTGATTTACCATGCTACTATTTTGCTTTCCTGCCTTGACTGTACCACTTCATTTACTACAACTACCCAAGCTTAATCCCTCAGCCCCTTTGTTCAGTTTGAAGTCCTTTACTTTCCTAGTTATACTGTTTGCTAGAACACTGGTCCCAGCATGGAATGGAGGAAATTTCCCAATGATTGAGTCCAACAGTACTCTCCCAGTACTGATGCCAGTTCCCCTCAAACTGGAATCTATTTCTCCAACACCTATCTTGAAGCCACAAATTAATTTTACTGATCTCATATGCCCTCTGCTAATTGCCTTGTAGCTAAGATAATAGTCCACCCTTGAAGTTTCTCTCCTCAATTTGGAACTGTCTCTTAATGCTGTTTAAGCAGAACATCTTTCATAGTTGTGACTATATAACTGGTACCAACACAAATTACAACAAGTGGGTACACTCTCTCCCAATTCAAGTTCTTGTCCAGCCCTGAGCACATGTCCTGAACCTTGGTACCAGGTGGAAAACACAACTTTCTGGGCTCAAGCTCTGACTGCACAGATCAGGGTCTGTTCTCTTTACATTCCTTTTTACTTTGTCTGTTTGAATGCCTTCCTGTACCACAGTGCCATGGTCAGTTAGCTCTTCCACCCCTGCAGCCCTCAGTCTCAAACAACTAAGCAGAAAGAATGTGAAACCTGTTGAACAGTTGCAAAAACTGAGGCTGTGAGTACCCTTATCTGCCTCCCTTGGAATATTGCCTTCTTTTCCTTGACCACTGATCAAAACAGAAGACCCTCTCCTAAAAGGCGTGACCACCTTCCTGGTACAAAATATCCAGGTAAATGCTCCCCCCTGTGATGCATTGCAATGTCTGTGGACTTGCCTCCAACTCAAACTCTGAGTGGAAGGTGCCTCCTGCATTAGATCTTTCAAAAAAAAACCACCTCTCATTTGCCCAGATTCTCTGCTCAGGTTTCCAGCCTATCTATATCCTGCTGTATCCTCTTGCAATCCTCCTCACTATCTGCAGCTCCCCCAATCTTCATGTGGTCTGTAAACTTGCTAATCAGGCCACCTACACAGTCT